CTCTGACTAAGCTGCAGTTCCTTCTGGTGTATGTGAGGGCTGAGTGTGTGATGGGCAGGGTTGGGTTGGTCTGTAGCATCCATTGGTTTGTGTAAGAAATGGAGCTAGAGACAGAACTGACCAGCAGTTGCAACTACTAGTGTGGGCTGATGTGGGTGACAGACTGAACTGGACCCCATATTGCTTAGTACACGCAAGAGTCAATTCAAGGATGAGGAGGACCAGTTCTGACACATGCAATCCACGGTCAGACCACAGATACTACAATATTCCCCAAGGTTGGCATTCTGAGTCCAGCAGTTCAATTGGGGGAATCCCCAAAGAAACCTCAGAGTCCTCCTCAGTGGCTAAGATGCAGCAATGGATGGCATACCCAGATTGCACATGGAGGATATGGCAGTCCACTGGGGCCGCAAGAGGACATATGCTACTATTGCAGAGCAAGCAGGGCAGAACAAATGGGTCAACTATCCCAACTAAGTGTTGACAGAAAATAACTGGGCAAATGGAGAATCTAAAGTGGACTGTGTCAGACAATGGACCTTGGAAGGGTTCCCTCATCCTTGGATTGACGAATATACAGCATTTCAGAACTATTAAGGCCACTTGAGCAGAACCCTCGGAACAGGCTCCACATAAGGGATCCTGAGATGACACCAGGTGGGTGTTCCCCATCCCTGGGTACTGAGGCGGTTGGGAGGCTAGGTGTGGCTTCTCCCCTATTCTCCTCCCTTCCCCCAGATACAGAAGGAGGAAAAGGAAAATTTGGAAACAACAGTCTCACCCACTTTCTCCTAGTCCCTGACCCTTCCCACCATGGTCAATTATGTAAACCTCATCAAAAATCAAAACTAAAATAAAAAAGAGAAGCTGGTTAAGATCCCCCCATTTCTATCATATTGCCTGGGTTTGAGTCCAGGTTCCAGCTCTCAACCTGACTTTCCTGCTAATACAGATCCTGAGAGACAGAGCTACTGCTTTCCCAGCCCACAAGCAGGGAGGTGGAAGGGAAGTGGAACAGCCGGGATACACTCCCCGCTGGGCCCCCGACCCCTGAGGCTCACAGATCCAGCACACACCTCACAGGCAAGCTGAAGACCCCATGCCAGATGACCTGGGCACCTCCAAACCCCACCCCTAGGACTCATTGGCCCAGTACCCACTATGCAGGTGTGCCCAAGAACCAGGTAGGGCATACAGGCCCTTACAGAGCCCACCTCCATCCCCACTTCCAGGGATCATGGACCTAATACCCACTGTGCAGACAGGCCCTAGGATCTGAACAGACGACCCAAACCCTGCTTGACACCCTACTCCTGTCCAGCCTTATCCTTTAACATAAACCAATGGATGCTGTGGACCAGCCCAACCCTGCCTACAACACACTCAACCCTCGCGTACGCCAGTGGGAACTGTAACCTAGTTGGAACAACCCCCAACACTCCATACTAGGCCTGCCCCCTGCCCTGATTAATGTGCTTGCCAGTATGTGCAGTAGACTGGTTCAGTCTGTGCTACATTCCATTCAGTTCTCCTGCACATCAATGGGCATTGAAGCCTGGCTCAGGCCAACCAACCCCACTATCCAGCCCACACTTATGCCAGCAAATGCTACCACTTATCTAGCCAAGCCTGCCCCAGTCCTGGTTCTCACGCTTACCAGTGGAAGTTGTAGCCCATCAGAGAGGGGCCACAGTTTCTCTACTGGTCCCACTTCCCGGACCCAGATCTTTTTCTCTCTAAGTGATTCTGCAGTCTATGTGACAGGATTTGCCTCCCATTCCCAGCACTTGTGGCAAAGCCCAACCAGCCTGCATTTACTCTGGTTAATGCATGCACCAGTAGATAGAGTCAGTTAGTTTGTGTCCTGGATTCTCCACTTCCTGTCTAGCTCCCTGCTTGTGGCCTGAAAAAGTAATAAAGGCCCAAAGCCTTGGGATTCTCCACCCATGTGGGAGACCCCAGAGGAGGTTCCTGGCTTCTGGCTTTGGATTGGCTCAGCTCCAGTGATTGTGGCCATTTTGAAGAGTAAACCAGCAGATTGAAGACTTTTCTCTGTCTCTCCTTGTTTCCTGAAATCTGATGTGGCCAGCATCAGCTGGCAGAAGCTGGCACTGGGGCCTAGTTCTGGCAATTCTAACCACAGAACCACCTGGAGAGAGCACAATCCGGGAGTGGAAGAGGCGTGGGAGGGAAATAGTGGGCTCCTCCCTCTTGGGTTACCACTTCTGCAGGAGGGCACGAAAACCAGGACAGGGGCTGGGGTGGAATGGGGTGTGCGACAGACTGAACTACTGCTACACATACTGGCAAACCGGGGTAGGGGGCGGGCCGGGTGGGGGTTATTGTGCGTCGCTCCAACTAGGCTGCAGCTCCCACTGGTTTATGTGAGGACTGAGTATGTGCTGGGCAGAACCAGGCTGGACTGCAACACCCATTGGTTCCAGTGGAAGTCGGGGCTGAAAACAGAATCAACCCAGCAATTGCAACCACCAGCTGATCAGGGCGATGGACTATGCTGGGCCCTGTGCTTGCTAGTACATACAAGAATCTGGTCTGGGAACACCTTAGACAAGGTTTCTTTGGAGATCTCCCCAATTGAAATGCTGGACTCAGAACCCTAATCAAGAAAAGAGAGAAGACAGAACAGGTCAATCAACCATCTCAGCTATATGTCGGCAGTGAAATACGGGGCAAACAGAGACTTTATGATAGACTATGTCAATCAGTGGATTCCTCAAAGACCTCATAGTGCTTGGAGTGGCAAGATTGGCAGCGATTCATAACTGTTGAACTATCAAAACCACTTGAGCAAGAACCTTGGAACATACCCTACATTCGGGACCTGGGGGGGGGGTGGGAAATTGGGTGGGCCTTCTCCCTTAATACCCCCCTTTAAACATGAAGGATACAACATGGAAATAATAGTCTCACCCACTTTCCTATAGCCCTTGAACCTTTTTACCCTAATTAACTATGTGAAGATTGTCAAAAATATAATTTAAAAATTTTTTAAAAAAGAAATCTGATGTGACTTTCCAATTAAAAAAATATATTTATTTTTCATTGAAAAGGCAGAGGGATAGAGAGAAGGAGAGACAGAAAGAAAGATCTTTCACCTGCTGGTTTATTCCCCAAGTGACCACAATGGCCAGATTGAGCCAATCCAAAGCCAGGAGCCTCTTCAGGTCATCCAGGTAGGCGTAGGGTCCCAAGGCTTTGGGCCATCCTCCACTTGTCTCCCAGTTCACATGCAAGGAGCTGGATGGGAAGTGAAGGCAACTGGGACAGGAACTGGTGCCCAAATGGGATCCTGGTAGATGCAAGGCAAGGATTTAGCCACTAGGCCATTGCATCAGGTCCCCCAAATAAATAAATCTTAAAAGAGAAATTGTCACACAGGTAAAACTTAGTTCTAATGGTAGAAGTCTCAATAAATTTACCACCTTATGGGGTGGGCAGGGACCAGAAAAGTAGAAAAGGTCCTTCTTGGGATCCTTGATTTGCGAGCTGTTTACATGAATAATTTGCGGAAATTAATTTTAAATTCTTTTTAAAATTTTATTCATTTTTTTTGTTGAAAAGTCAGATATACAGAGACAAAGAGAGACAGAGAGAAAGATCTTCCATTCTCTGATTCACTTCCCAAGTGGCTGCAACAGCTAGAGCTGAGCCGTTCCGAGGCTAGGACCTTCTTCCAGGTCTCCCATGTGGGTGCAGGGTCCCAAGGCTTTGGGCCATCCTCAACTGCTTTCCCAGGCCACAAGCAGGGAGCTGGATGGGAAGTAGAGCAGCTGGGACACGAACTGATGCCCATGTGGGATCCTGGCACTGCAAGGCGAGGACTTCAGCCAATTAGTCTAAGGTGCTGGGCCCGAAAATTCATTTTATTACACACTTAAGATTTCCACCTTTTGGGGGCTTGGCAGGTGGCCTGCTGGCTAAAGTGCTCGCCTGGAATGATCCGGTTCTAATCCTGGCAGCCCAGCTTCCCTCCCATCCGTGCTCCCTGCTACCCTTATGGCCGATGAGGGAGAGAATCAATGGACAGAAGATCTTCCTTTCTTTCTGTCTCTCCTCTCTCTATATATGACTTTGCAATAAGAATAAATAAATCTTAAAAAAAAAAAAGATTTCCACCTTTTTTCTTTTTTCTGTTTGTGTGACTCGGAGTAAATACTAGTTGTTGAGAGCGACTTTTGAAAGCATAAGAGAGTACTTGGGGAACTGACAAAAGGCAGCAGCGTCACACTGTGAGCAGTGTACAAGGAGCAGCCCCAGCAGGTTTCAAATGCGGGTAGGTGTGAGAGTGGGTCTGAGAAACTCCCGGGTGACACGTTAGGAAACCATGGGCTGAGCTACAAGTCCCATGTCCCAGAAGAGGGGAAAACGCTGTCCTGACCCAAGCTCCTTTGCGCTTTTTTCCCAAGGCAGAAATTCTGTCTAGACTAGACCACTGTGCTGATTCGCAAGGGTATATGTGGTGCTGGAGGGTGGGGTACAAGACACAATTCGAGCAACCCTGAAGCAAATCCTAGCACTTTCCAGGGCAAAACCTGGCATGGGGTGGGGAGGGTGGTCCAGCAAGCCCAGAGATCAGCCCTGTACCCCTCCCCCTTAGCCCGCTATCATCACAGTGTCCCTCAGACTTTGTGACTTCATCCAGCCTCTCTGTAACAATCCCGCCATGGGTGGGTGGGGCTGCCTTGCACCCAGCTGCACCCTGACTTCAGCTCACTTGCCCTGAAGCCCTGTTTCTCCTCAGGCGGAAGCTGCCGAGCTGCCCTCCCCATCGGGCATGCTCAGTCCTCTGGCTGGGTTTTGCCGGACGGGCAGCAGCCGGCGGCCCCGGGGCGTGCGTCCCCAGAGCCCCCGGTCCCTTTAAATTGGACCGGTAGGTTTTTTGGCAACGGAGCAGGCCGAGCTGGCGCTGCACTGCAGTAGCTGTGGCCCCGGCCTCACTGGCCGGGTCGAGATGGCCAGCACCGAGCTGGAGGCTGCGGCCCGCAGGTGCTGGCTGCCTTCGGAGAATCGGGGACAAGACTCTCCAGACCACGCCCAAGCTTGCAGGTATGTCTGGGGAAGGGGCCAGCAGGCCTGCCCCTCTTCTCTCCAGGCCCATGGAGCAGGGGCTAGGGGGAGGTTGGAGGCAGACACTGACGCGAGCCCAGGCAAACCCCTCATCAGCCGGGCTCTTCCTTCCCAGACTGGAGCTGGCCGAGGAAGGAGGGAAGCCGACGCAGGAGTCGGGCTGTGTGGAAGGGGGGTGGGGGGGGCCTGGCCTCTCGGGGACGGAACTGGGGAGGGGTGAGTGTCACCTGTAGTGGGGCCCGAACAGCACAGGAAACTTGAGCCACCCTCCGTGGGCCGGAAGCATTGATGGCAGGAGTTTCAGTTAACCATTCACAGAGAAAACCTCCAAAGTATCCACACAAAGATACAGCTTTATAGGAGAATGTGATTTCCATACTAATAAAGTCTCCACCTTCTAGGTTAAGGTGGCTCCGCATGCATCTTTTCTTTGGAAAGGAAGAATTTCACACTAGTAACAAAGAGTTTGGGGGGTGCGATGGTGATCCCTGTTAGGAGCCTGAAAGATTAAGGGACTAATTGAAATCACTTCCCATTGCAGTGTTTGGGGGATTTTGTTGTTGTTTTCAAAGTGATTGACTCTGAAGGAGGGACAGCAAGGCCTGGGCCCCAGTACTTGGCTAGCATGGCTCTTGGGCAAATTCCTGAATGACCAGCACGCTGCTGCTGCCTCCTCCAGGACTGCCTCCTGTGTTCATAGGTGGCAGTGGGTCGGAGACACCACGTGGAACCGAATGTCACTGTGATTCGCATCCCGTTTGGATTGCTTAGGGGAAATTGGCTTAGTGGCACAAAAGTTGGGACAAATGGGTTGACAGCTGAAAAGGAGAACTACCACTAAGTGCTTAGCATCACATTTCAAACAGACCAAGTAATATTCTAAAAATATCACTTGTAATAAAAAAGTATATATATATATTTATGAGAGAGAGAGAGAGAGAGAGCTACAGAGAGTTCCCATCCACTGACCCACTCCCCCAAATGCCTGCAAAATGAGGACCCCAGAGCTCAGCCCAGCTCTCCCACTTGGGCGGCAGGGACACACCCACTTGTCCCCAGAATGTGCAAAGACAGGAAGCTTGGGATGCAGGCATTGCACCTGGCAGCGTGACCACTAGACCAGCTGCCTCTGTCACTTGGGCCTTTCAGCTGGATGTCAGATATAAACGTGGCTCTGGGTCAGCCGGCTCCTCGTATCGCCTGATTGTGCTGAGGGGGGTGGAATTTTGTTTTCTAGCTCAAGCTGGAGGGGTGCGACTGCATTCTGTGGAAGACCTCAGACCTCAAGATACGTAAGTACACTTGTGCTGGCTGCTGTCCTATTGTGGTTTAGAAATGCTTCAACTGGGGAACTAAATCATCAGTCTGCACAGTCAGTATCCCTTTGGAGAGGCCTCACACAAATAGGAGAGACAAGTGTTTTGAAAACTGTAGCTAAGCCGACTGAACTTCAAGGGGGAAAATATATTTAGAAAAACCTTCAATTAGAATCAAAGCATTAGAGAATTTTTCAGAAGAAGATTAAGGATCATGCATTAAGCGAATGTCTAGCAAGGGCTGCTATGTGGCAGGGAACAAAAATGCGAAAGTAAGTAATGTTAGTTATTTTTAAAAGTGTTCTAGTCCATACGTTGTTACGATATTATGCACAACTAATTCCCACAACCTGGTTCTTTACCGTGAGCCGAAAACACCAGATGCAACGAGGCATTGAGGAGGTTTATTCCAGCGGGGCAGGAACGGGACGGGGTTGTGGGGAGGAGAGGAGGAAAAAAGGGAAGGAAAAAGGGGGGGGTCAGAAGGAGAAGAGAGAGAAGAGCCACACCTGGGGCCGTTTTGTCACTCAGGTGAGCCTGCAAGGTGTGGGGGCGGGATTGGGAGGGATTGAGGGCAGGCCACAGGGGACTGGTGCCTGAGACTGTCACAGCTGAATGCCTAAGAATGATTGGTAAGCAGGCAGACTTGGGGAAGGGGCTGGGAGATTGGGGCTGGGATTCTCAGGTGAAATGGCTGATTGGTGGATGGCTGGACTGGCGCGAATTTCGTTGGCTGTGAGGAAGAGGAAACGGCGCCCGGTCCAGGGTGGGATATTTGAATAACTCCTTACAAGTAAAGCAGCAGGTGATCACAGCATAGAAGTAAAGGTGTGTGCAAAATGCTCTGCAAGCCCGAGAAAAATGAGTGCAGCTTCTCTCTGCTAATCTGCATGCTGATATCCAATGGTTTGTATTCTAAGGGAGTTCTTGGTGAAGCCAGTTGGTAAGGAACATTCAAATATTTCAGATTGTAGAGGAAATGACTACTTTTCTGTTATTAGAGTCTGGTGAGCTTCAGAAATTTGGGGATATCAACAACTAATTTACAGGAGTTAAGGCTAACTCTTCCATAGGGAAGAGGGTTATGATTGGAGCTCCGGTTCCTTTCTGGCCGCTGTAATAGTGCCTACCAGTGTGTGAAAATTGACTTTTGCCAAAGTCCGTAAATTTGAGGATGGTAACTTGGAAGCACACATCCATGAAAAACAAGTTATTTAACTGGCTGGTTTATGTTGGAAGGGAGGGTGAAGGAAAACTCGCAAATGAACACAGATCATTGTCTAAGGTACTCTGGAAAAGATGCTGCCATTTCCACCTTCAGTGATGTCTCTTAACCACTCAGGAAGCAGCTTTATTGGCTTTTTGTTTATTGGCTCCCAGAAGGTCTTACTGCAGTTCTAAAAGTGTTGGTTGTTTGTTTCTACCACAGTCCATCTTCATTTCCGTTCCTCTCTCCAGTATGTCCTCTCCTTTTCTCGGATACTTTTGCACAGTGAACTATATGGATCCACACTGTTACAAGGCAGCCAGGATCCTCATTTTGCTATCTGATGGCTACCTGTAAGCCAGTGAAATGGAGTGGAAAATGAGGAAATTCCTTTATTGGGAGGTGGGGAAAGTCAGAATCTTCTAGTAAGGAAGAAGAGTAATGATGGCAGAGTTTCGGAACTGGAAAAGCTAGGAGCACAAAAAAGGGGCGGGGGAGTTGAAAACCACCGTTTTTAAATGAAGAGGAATTGGGCAGTTCAGGAATGATGCCAGGCTAAGTGACTTCCTTTGCAGCAGCCTCTCTCCTATTTCAGCCCAGCCGTTCTCCGAGCGGGCTAGTAGAGGGCCTTCGTCTTCACCTCTACTTGCAGGTGGCTGAGTGGCGGAGGGTAGGAAGGTTGCGCCATGCAGTAGGAGTTGGCCTTTGCAGCCATCACCCCAGGTTATAAAGCTGAAGAGGGAGGATTCGTGTGAGATGGGAAACAGCCTCTGGAGCTCCTGTGGAACTCTTTCTCAGCCCCTGCCTACCCCTTTCCTGAAATAATAACTGCGTTTTGCAGGCAGATCTAGATTTATGGTCCTGAACATTTGAAATCCAATTCTAGTGCAAATGGGATAAGGCAACAGGAAGAAAAAATTTGATTGATTTCACCAATTTTCTCTAAAGCATGTGGTTTAAAATATTGATATTTTAGAAAACAAGTTTCTATCCACTTAGTCCATGTGTACTCCCAGGGTCCTACCTAGAAAGGGAATGTGAGGCGGTTTTTGTGGATTTCTCCTTTTACAGTAAACTGTGGCTATTTTCTGAAGCTACTTCAGAATTAACGTGCATTTACCTGAGATTTTAATGAAACTGTGTACGTAAAGGTCTACAATAATCACTCTCCGCTAGGTTTTCAGTAACTGTGTTATATTAGATAATATTGCTTTATATATCCATTTTCAATTTATCTTATCAGTGGTTCCCAAATTCTTTAAGTGGCAAAAGAACCACTTCCATGAGACAAGAGACCCTTTAATCTACAAAAACATTCCATGACTTTGATGCTGCGAAAGAAGGAAGCAAAGAAGAAAGGAGGGGAGGGAAGGCGGGAAGAAAGAAGGAAGGAAAGAAGAAAGGAAAGGAGGAAAGGAAGAGAGAAGGATGGAGGAAAGAAGGAAGGAAGGAAGCAAGCAAGGAAAGAAGGGAAGGGAGGAAAGGAAAGCAGGGAGAGGGAGGAAAGAAGGAAGGAACAAAGGAAGAAAAGGAAGAGAGAGGGTGGAAAGAAGGGATGGAAGGAAGAAAGAAACAAAGGAAGGGAAGGTGGGAGGAAAGGAACAAAGGTAGGAAGGGAATTAAGATGGAAAGAACAAAGGAAGGAAATGAAGGGAGGGAGGAAGGGAAGGAGGTAAGGAAGAAGGAAGGAAAGGGAGAGGGAGGGAGGGAGGAAGGAAGGAAGAAATAGAAAGGAAGGAAAGAAGAGAAGGAAGGAAGAAACAAAGGAAGAAAAGGAAAGGAAGGAGGGAGGAATGGAGGAAGAAAGTGAAAGAAAAAAAGAACAAATTAGCAGGCAATAGTAATGAATGGTGATGTTTTTGATGAAATACTAACTAGAAGCATTAGGAATTCACCATTAACTTATATCAGACACAAATAAATAAGACACTGATACCTTAACAGTGTGGTTGCAGAGACTTGTGGGGGTGGTGGTAGGGGCTTGCTGTCTTAAAGGACCACTGCTGACACTTGTCATGTAATATCATCATACCTATTTTCCTGTCAGTGTTCTGGCTTCTTTCTTTACATTTTTTTCCTCTTAGACCTCTTTCCCCAACTCTTCAGTCTGTCAATACCCAATGTAGTGTATTAGATAGGCACTGATAGTAATAAATGTTTGCAAATAACCCGCTACAAAAGCCTGCTTACGCATCAAACGGTAATTTCTGGTTTGGCTTGGCCTCTGCTGCAACAAATTACCTAGTCAGCTTTATTGAGAACAAGATGGCTGCCAGACCATGGTTGGGGAATGGCATTGTTTCAAAGCATATTCCTTGTCCTTGCCAAAGAATACTGAAGTCATACTCATGCTGCATATAAACAAACAATGCCATTGCAATGAGAAAATAAGACTGGCAGCTTTTACCCTCCCCACCGGCCCAGGCTTTGCCACACTCTGACTGGATTTGGGAACACGCACTTAAAAGCTATCTTGTCAATGAAAGAGGGGGGTAGAAAAGGAGCAGCTCCAAGACCCTTTGACCCTGCCCTGTGTAAGCCATGGGAGGGAAATTCCAAAAGGCTTTTCAAACCTTTCTTTTTCTGTCCTTTGATATGTGACACGCAGTTCTCCTTGCCCTACCACCCCCTTCATTTTTCCTCTCTCCTTTTGTGGCCCTTTAAAAGATACCTAAGCTCTGAAAATAGTGGGTTTTTTTTTATTATTATTTTCTCAATTTGTGAAATGAAACTTAGCTGATGAATAAGGAGGATTTAGAACAAACACTGACCTGGAGACAGGGTCTCCGTTTGACCACTTAGATGGCCTTGTTCAAGTCACTTCACTTCTCTGAATTTCTGTTACGCGTGGACTCTCTCCATGTCTGTGAAAAGCATCGGTTTACACGGTTTGTTGGAAAGTATTTTCTTTCAAATTCCCAGGGAAGTATACAGAGATTCAGAAAAGCAGTAAAAAAAGTTGTTTTCTTTCTTCTTCTTCTTTTTTTTTTTTTTAAGTAGTGGGTATGTGTGTTTTGTCAAAGATTTGTGGGAGGGTTGGATGTAGAGGTCACTTTTTCAAGGAGCAAAAATAATTAAGACAGTTTTCAATTTCGTCCTTTGTCTTTGCTCAGACCTGCATCTCAGATATGTCACTAAGGCTTCCAGTGGCCTCACTGCCCCTGTGCGCACCCTTTCCCTTATCAATCACACCAGTGCCTTTCATCCAGAATTAGGGAAGAGGACCAGTATGCTCTCTGCATGGCTACCTAATTAGAAGCATCATTATCTTTTACAGAATTATCTGGGAAAGATTTGACTGCCAATTAGCACTGCCCTCTTTAATGATGTCCTTTTTCTTTTGCTTTATGTTTGCTAAAATAATTTCTATTCATCCCCACTCATATTTACAGAAAGAAGAAAACCAGGATGATGATGAGTTTTCTCTTTGAGAACAGATAGGTCACAGGGGTTTCTGTCTGATGATTACTAAAATAATAAAACCCAGAAAACACTATTTCAAGAGAAAGGAGAGTCCACTCCAATGGCAAATGTGTGCCAGGAATTTCAAGTCTGAATTAATCGATATAGGCTTATTGACTAAACTTTAATAAACCTTGGTTTCTGCCTTCTGAACCAGTGATTTTAACACCTTCCCTGAACTTCCATCTGAAAGGTGTGCTTTTTAAAGAATACCCATCATTGCCTTTCCTCAAAGCAAATTAGTTGCCAGTAGGGATGTACCCTTGAGGATATTGAGCACCATATTTCTTTTTTTTTTTTTTAAGAAAAAGATCAGTTTATTTGAAATTCAGAATTATAGAGAGACAGGGAAGAAGACACAGAGAGAGTGAGGTCTACCATCTTCTAGTTCACTTTCCAGTTGGTTGCAATGGCTGGAGGTGGGCCAGGTCAAATGACCAGGGGCCAGGAACTTCATCCAGATCTTCCACATGGCCAGGGACCATTAGCAGGGAGCTGGATTAGAAGTAGAACAGCTAGGACTGGAACTGGTGCCCATATGGGTGCCAGCACTACAAGCACAATGCCACAATGCCAGTCTTCTTCATCTGTTTTCAGAAATGGGCAAGAGGTATGTACAGTGCCTGTAGGGACTGAATTTGTTTCTTCCTTGCCTATAGCATTGCCTGTTTATGTTATGAAAAAGATGAGTGGTTATCTCATGGCATGCAATTATGAAGAAAATTCCTGTGTGTGTGTGTGTAATTTTCTGTGTTCTCCAAAATTGCTACAAATAAGAGAATATTAATTAAAATAGTTACAACACTTGTCATTTTTCATCACAAAGAGAAAATTATATTTATATGTTTTGGTAAACAAATAGACTGATTTTTCTCAGTGGTGACACAGATCTATTCCAAGTAAATTAATGTATGAAATAAAGAATGCTTGTTCTTCCAGCCTGCCCTTTAAGGATAAGTGCAGTTATCAGCTTGGTGGCCTCAGTTACCAGTGGCCCTCCAACACGTTGCTTAATCCTTTATTCCCTATTCTGTCAGAACTAGTTCTTCCTCTTTTTGAAGAGGAAAAACTTTTCCAAAAAAGCCCTGTAAAATTTATTATTACGGAAAATTGGTTGTGATTTGGTATGCTGAGTTTTTCATCTAAAAAGTACCCTAGAGTTAGTACCTTGAGAAAAACACATTTGGTGACACTGAAAGTCTCAGTCGTTGACAATAGGTTCTCATCCTGAAGTTACTGTGCAAATGAATGGAATTCAAGACTTGGCTTGGCGTTCTTGCCTGAGAGTGAAGCCCAAGACTGGAATAGCAGGAATTTATAGGTCAAGACAGAAGGGCATTTGGCAGAATTAGTCATAAGGAAGTCTGCATGGGATGTTTTACCAAAAGCAGCTCATGTTGCATTAAGCCCTGATATTAGTCAGTTTAAAGACTGAATAAACAGTAGTCCAATCCAAAAGATCCAGGAAAAAAAAAATCAGACATATTAAAAGCACAGGTATCAACAATATTTTTATTGACTTCAAAACTTTGATTTTAAAACAGTGTGTTTTCACATGTACAGTTGCTTTTTTAGAGAATTAACTCAGGCTATACTAAAAAGCTAATTGTGTAATTTACTGTTTATACTCACAGGATTGGTGAATTCTTAAGCTGGACTGTGTAGAGCTTAGACAGTTCGGCCTTTATTTATCACATGAGAGCGGTGAGGCTTGAGTCCTGGGTTAGGAGAGCCAGCACTGAGCTCAGGCAGCATTACCAGTGAGCCAGTGTTCTGAGTTCTTTCTTGTGCGCTAATTTGCCTTGATTTTACATTTTTTTTTTCAGGAAGTGGAAGAAGTGCCTAAAACAATGGATGCCAGAAAAAAACATTGGAAGGAGAATATGTTTACTCCTTTTTTTAATGCACAGTATATTCTAGAAGAGATTTCTCAGCCGGAATCTGTGGAACCAGCTACTGCAGAAAAGACCAAGAGGTTGGAAAGACTTTGTAATTTGTCCAGCAGAACGTTTCAAGAAACAAGTACAATTAAGAAGAAAGAATGTATTTCTCGATCGAATGAGAAAGAACAAGAACACAGTGTAAGAGAGATAAATATAAACATAACAAAGAATGCAACAGACACAAAATCTAACTGCTGTGTATTATCTAGTTTGGATGTTGCAGCTAAAGAAAGCATTAATAGCAGGGATCACCCTACCTGGCGTAGGAGGGAATTACCAGTTCATTTACAGCGACACAGTAGGAATAAATACACCAAAGGTATGTCAACAAAACTTCGCCTAAATATTCTGAATGATGAACTTGAAGAACTTAACACGAAATGCAAAAAAATTGAAAAGGAATTTGAAACTGCCGAAAAAGAATTATTGAGCTCCAAAAATGACACCATCCCCCTAAATTTTCAGGAAACAAGGGTGGATTCTTCGAGGAAAGACTGGGAACTTCAAGCATTGCGAAACGATCTGTGTAAAAAATCAGCCAATATACAAAACTTAACTGAGGAGCTCCAGCAAGCCAAAGAAACCATCTACAAGTTGAACTTAGAGAACCGGGAATTAAGAGAAGCTGTTAGAAACTTAAAACATCAGACTGAAGTTGGAAGCGTACTTCTCAAAGAAGAAATGAAGCTGTACTATGAGTTGGAGATCGAGAAGATTCGTGCAGAGCTTGATGCGGTCAAGTATGAACTAAGAGCTGAGAAGAACCTGCAAGCAAGAAACAGCCGAGCGTTAGAGCTGCTTAGAAAACACTTGGCGTCAGCGGTAATATCATCCAGTGTCCAAGATGGCTTTTGTGGGGATTTCTTGTGAACTAAAAAAAATCTGTCTTTGGACAAATCCTTGAGCCAAATCGATGTCTGTTGTCCTTTTGTGTGTGTGTGTGTGTGTGTGTACCACTTAAAATGTGTGTAATAGGAAATAGTTTTCATTTGTGGTGAATTGCAGTATCTGTAAAACTTGAAAGCTTTGCTTTCATTCTTTTAGAATTCATTCTAAGAAACTCTTTCATTCATTAGCGTTTCATACTCTTTCTAATGAAGTTATTGTGAGAATCCAAACGGAAGTGAAACCTCAGAAATATTTTATACTTATAGTATATTTATATATTTCACACAAAAACTCGTAGTGACTCACCAAATCTTTATGAATACAAATTAACAACCATTTTATTATCTTGTGAGCAATATGCCCTTGGTACGTGAATATTCTTCCATCTGTTTTCATTGATATTAACAATAAAAATGTTATGTGTACATGCTTAACACAGGCCTATGAGACTTGTACCTGCCTGATCAAACTCCAGAGGATACCAAAAGTGTATCTGCTTTTTTTTAGACTCTACCCTTAATTAGGCACATAGAAACATCTCAGAGAAAAATGCAGTTTTCATCCTCCCCCGAACCTTTTTTGCTCATGCCTTCTCCTTTGACCTGGCCCCCATTCCCACTGATTGGAAGACAACTTAAGGAGTCACTGCTGTAACCTTTGCTCCAGCCTTGCTTTTGTCAGCTGTGGCCTTGCACTTTGTTATGTTGGCCAGTAAGGGGCGTTGTTTACATAGTTCTTCCAAGATTCCACCAGAGGAAAGTTGCTAAAACTTCCTGCTCGGGTTTTCATCATCGCTTCGCCGGGATTGTGGTGAGAGGCATTGGATGTTATTATGTACGTAAGCTGCCGGTGAGCTGGCTTGATTTATATAGTAATCTGGCCCCCTTACGAGTCAAAATACACTACCTCAACCCTTTAATGGAAGTGATAGTTTATTTGCATTTGTTTTTATCAATCATCAGGATTCTTTGTAATGAGAGGTCTCTTTGTATGATATTGTTGAGCCAAATGCTAAGCCAAATGCAACAGCAGATGGGATGGGATGCAGCTGTAAGGGTGAAAGTGTCTTCTCTGTTAGGAAAACCGCCAGGATAGGAGTCACAGCCTTTGTGTTCTAGAGCCTGCTCTGATGTTATCTAGTTAATTTATCTTCTAGGCCTAAAGGTTCCCCTGTGTAATATGAAGGGACACATCGATCATTAAAGTTCTGTTGACTTCTAATTGCCTGTGATTTCCCCCTTAGTGATTTACTTGCAACTGTAGCTTTACGTGGGTGAAAGCAAGTTACACTTCGATGATATCAGATGTGTTCTGTTCTCATAATTCAGAGGACCTACTTTGCAGTCCCCGCCCCATTTCCAAGAAAATATGATAGCACACTTTGAAAAGTTCATGGAAAGTAAATTAAAAGCTTTGGTCTCTCCATCCCTCTGTAAATCTGCCTTTCAAATAATAAGTAAATGATAAAACAAAATCTTTTGGTGCAAAACTTTGAAATCTTTGCATATAAAGGGTTCTCAAAGATACATTACGAGAAAACGATGCATGAGTTTCAATTTTCTTGGCACCAAAGAAAGCCTACAGCCTAATTCATTTCCATGAACTTTGAGGCATTTCAGTAGACCCCTTTTCATAGTGAGAACATCTGTGAAGACTCTGCCAGTCATAAATCAGTGAATGAGGCTGTTTCTTCTCCTGCCTCTTGTTTCCTCTGCTCATTAAGGTGGGGGAGCACTAAATGGAGACAGATTAAACTGACCTGGAGGCTACTGCCTGGCCTGGGAAGAGTGGACTAAATTCGAAGGTAATAATTGTAGTTTTCTGACTTGGTCCTGATAGACTGAATGAGGGTAGCAGCTGCCTAAGGGAACAAATGCCTTTCAGGGTTTTCCGCCTTTTTTTTTTTTTTAAGATTTACTTTTTAAAAAGATTTATTTATTTTTACTGCAAAGTCAGATATACAGAAAGGAGGAGAGACCGAGAGGAAGATCTTCCGTCTGCTCATTCACTCTCCAAGTGGCCACAATGGCCAGAGCTGAGCTGGTCCAAAGCCAGGAGCGAGCTGGTTCTTTCAGGTTTCCCATGCGGGTACAGGATCCTAAGGCTTTGGACCATCCTCCACTGCTTTCCCCAGGCCACAAGCAGAGAGCTGGATGGGAAGTGGGGCTGTCAGGATATGAACTAGCACATATGGGATCCTGGTGTGCAAGGGGAGGACTTTAGCCACTAGGTTACTGTGCTCGGCCCTGTTTTTGTTCTTTTAAAGATTCATTCATGGGCCCGGCGCAATAGTGTAGTGGTTAAAGTCCTCTCCTTGCATGCCTGGGATCCCATATGGGCACCAGTTCTAATCCCAGCAGCCCCACTTCCCAGCCAATTCCCTGCCTGTGGCCTGGGAAAGCAGTTGAGGACAGCCCAAAGCCTTGGGACCCTGCACCCGCTTGGGAGACCTGGAAGAAGCTCCTGGCTTCAGAACAGCTCATCTTTGTTTGCTATAGCTAGGGAATGAATCAGTGGATAGATCTTTCTGTCTTTGTAAATCTGCCTTTCCAACAAAAATAAGTAAAATAAATAAAATAAGTAAATAAATATTTAAAAATATATTTACCTTTGAAAATTCATTCTCTGAATGTTTCTGGACAGAACTGTCTAAGTGTTTGTAAATTTTATATTATTTTAATTAAACACCTAAATTCGGTCATCTTGGTATAATTCTATTGAAGACAGAGGGACAGGGGTGGGAGAGCAAGAGCTAGGACAGTGCCCAGTGAAGCCACGAGCCAGGATCTCCATTCTGGTCTTCTACATAGGTGGCAGGAGCCCACATCTGTGGGCCAGCTTCCTTTGCTTTCCAAGGTGTGTTAGGGAGCTGGATAGGAACCAGAGCAACTGGGACTTAAATCTACACTATGATAAGGAATGCCCACATTGCAAGTGGTGGCATAAACTACGCCGTAATACTGGTCTGTAATTCCATTTTTAAGGAGGAAATTCAAGAGAATTTCTATCAATCACACATTTAAGGTTTTCAACAATAAGTTGGTTTATCTTGTATATTTTGTGCCTAGGGAAGCAGTGTGTTGAAGGAAGATCCAGAGGAGTTAAGTCATAGTTTAGCTTGACTCCAGATGGTGATGGTGGTGATGATGGTGGTGGTGGTGGTGTTGGTGGCAACAGTGAATGGGGTTGAAGTTGGGACTGTGTTTGTAGAATGGAACTGGAATGTAGATTCTGGATGAGATGGCATGGGATGCTGGAACCTAGCAAGTCCTGCCCTATGGGAAAACCACACGAAAAGCCTAGGTTCAGTCACTAACAGGTATGTGGTATGTAATCATGAACCCCAGAGCACCAAGGAGAAAGGGAAGGCAAGGTGAAAAACCCGACAGTATGGAGTTGGAATAGGATGACATCTAAATCACAGCAAGGCTAAGAGGAAGCTGGACGTTCTCCTGTCATGAGCAGATGGGACGGAGCTGAAATCGCTTAATCAGAATCAAGGCAAACACACATACTCTGTCTCATTGTTTCTGTAACTACTCTCACTTACTCCCTTCCATCCCCAATTTTGATGTGGACATATCACTGTACCTTTTGGTATATTTAGTGGGAGATATGGCAGCGTTTAATGGAGAATGCATGTCAGGACACTCATCCCTTTAACTTAACTTGTTGGGGGAATATTTGAAATCAACAATACACATACACAACACTCACCACCAACTCCAAAATCAATCTTGATTAGGAAGCGTGGCCTGTCGTGTTGCTTTAGGAGTGTCTGCTTCACCTCACTGCTACCATCTAGTTCTCTTTTTTTAAGATTTGTTAACTTTTACTGCAAAGTCGCATACATAGAGAGGAAGAGACACAGAAAAGAAGATTTTCCGTCCGAAGATTCACTCCCCAAGTGACCGCAGGGGCTGGAGTTGAGTCAATCCGAAGCCAGCAAAAAGGAGCTTCTTCCAGTTCTCCCACATGAATGCAGGGTTCCACAGCTTTGGGCCGTCCTCGACTGCTTTCCAGGCCACAAATAGGGAGCTGGGTGGGAAACAGGGCTGCCAGGATTAGAACCGGCGCCAATATGGGATCCTGGCACGTTCAAGTCGAGGACTTTAGTCGCTAGACTACCACACCAGGCCCCACCATCTAGTTCTGCACCCAGTTGGTGAGTACTAACTACCATCACTATTTCTAAAATGCACTAAAAAGATAGCAATTTGGAATGGATTTTCAAGTTGGTGGTGTTTAATGGTGTAATTGTACTGGATGGCTTTTTTTTTTTTTAGGAGATGAAATAATGGTGTATCTTCCAATCAATGGAATTTTTAATTTGTTGAAGTAGTGCATGTACTAGGCTGAGGAGATGGGGATAAAAGGATTTATGAATAAGACAAGTCTGTGGTGTTAAAGACCTTACTTATGCAACTAACTAAAACAATGTGGTAGGAAGTATACTAGCAGTGCTAATGTAAAGTGCTGTGGGGGCACAGAGGAAGATTGTCTCCTGTGGAGTTTGGAGGGCTTCATAAAGGAGGTGACATTTGAGCTAGGACTTGAAGGATAAGAAGGATTGTTTTCAGGCAAAGCATGGGGGCAAGAGGTAGGGGCTTTGGATGTGAATGGGAAAGGTTTATTTGACTTCAACGAGGACTGTTAGTAGCAATGACTTCGAGTTGTGTGATGTTGCTGATTTTTAAGGTCCCAACTCTAGGTCTCATATGCAGTTAGAATAGAGAATGAAATTCTCCTAAGGCAAAGGTCAGGTCCCCAGGTGACAAACTGTGGGAAAACAGTTGTGCTGGTGTCTCCCTATCTTGGGCTGCCATCCGTTCTGTTTTGGAAACAAAAGCCCAAAGAGGCTGGGGGCACAGTCTTCAGCCAAGTCCACTGTGAGCAGTCTGGTTTCCGAGAGATGTATGAAAGAGAAACAGCACACTCCTCTCGAACACTGAGAGTAAATGCCCGAGTGTGACCTGGGACGAGCTGTTTTTATTCCCTGTTGCTCAGTTTCTTCCTCTTAGAAGACAGGGTTAATAGCGTTGTTAGGAGGATAAGACGACATCACAGATAGTCAATAAATGTCACCTTAGTTATCGTCCTTATTACCTGACAAGGGGAAATTGAAGCCATCTGTCTTTTTCAAGTTTTACCCTCACCAAGCTCTTTATTTTTTCTCAAATCGTGTTTTCTGCAGACAATATGATGAATTCATTCAGGATATGTGTATCCATGATATGGGGCCATGTTTGGGAAGGTGGGGAAAGCTGCAGCAGTCATCTTTTGATTCTATTGGGGTAGGAAACCTTAAGACAAAGTAACGGGCTCTCATAGTGGGTTTTCTGGCCTCAGGAAATGCTTAAGGGGAAATTCCTTGTGCCAGAGCCTGCTGAGCCCCACTCAGATCA